AGATCAACATAGGCTGATGATCTTGGATGCTAGCTAAATAAAAATTAGGAAAATCAGTACAAAAGGATGTTGTCATCACGTATACTAAAAATACAGACGCAGTACCCAAGATCCATACCAGGTTAATTATCGAGCGCAATTAAAGAAGCAAATAGATTTTCACACCGAGACTGAAAGATGTTTAATTGTCGCATCAAAACTGATTAGGATTTGCAAAACATCTGAGGCTTTGACTGTATATCTATCACGACAATCTCATTTCCTCTAAGGAGGAGAAAGAACTCTTACACCAGGACACAAATAACAGTAGCTACTGCATTTGCACAATAACAGGACACAACAGAATGACTTACTGTAGCAGCTTTCACAGGCTCTACCCAAGCCTGGGGTCGGCACCGAGCCTGGAGGTCCTGGGACCGCTGTACCCGCTGTGCCCACTGTGCCCACTGTACCCACTGTACCCACTGTACCCGCTGCTCCATTTACCAGAGCTGGCTTTACATTGTTACTCAGCTGGTTAGGGTTTGGCTTGTTACTGATATAAGAAGAGATACAGAGACAATACATTCACCAAGAGAACAAATAATATTCATCAGCCTGCAACCAGAGAGAGTAGTTCCACTGATCCAGTACTGAGAGCGTTCGTGAATAATAAAAGAAGAGTTTGTACTGTATAATGAGCGACAAGTGCTGAACTTTAAAATACCAGAGTTGTTGCTGTGACCTTCTCCACAGCATCGACTGATTTAATACTTGATAATATGCAGGAAAATGAAAGCAGGCTGATAAATTGCTGCATCAAAGTACTCACTAGTTGGGGATGTAGACCTGCTTCAACTTGCTTTCTGCCTCGGCTGCTTTTAATCGTTTCTGGAGCAGAAAAGGAGGTTGTTGACGAGAAGTGCAGTTAGACCTAGTGAATTTCTAACCTTTAAGTACCAACAACAGATTTGTGAATCGCATGCAAATATAAAATTAATTAATATGGGTCACTTAGTTTTCTTTTTTCCTTAAGAAATGTATAAAGGAAGTTATTACCTGCTGTACATATCTATCTGTGGTCTTCCACATGTAGTAATACTCAATAATACTCGTCAGGGATTTCCAGGGCAACTACACAGGGACAGAAGAGGAAAATAATTATGGTTTTAGTTGAGGTGATGTTATGGGAACAGATAGAAAGAGAGGAAATCTTGCTGAAGGCAGGGAATGTAAAATTAAAGCTGAAACTCTTAGTTGATTACATGATCATTAACTACTTTAACTGAGAAATTAAGATTGCAGGTACTCAAATAAGATGATTCTCCCTTTCGTGACATTTATAATTATAAATGCTAAAATATCTGTGTATTTCTTTCACATTTTAAGGAACACACACACATTCAACCTGGTGTAGTACTCGCTCGTTAAAAAGGTAAAGATATGATTAAAAAAACTGAAGCTAAATCGTTACATTGCCTCTATGAAGTTTGAAAGAATATGAGCCTTTAAGTGGTGGCCCCACCCATACTGATGGTGTAGTCTTGTTGTTGGAAAAAAACCTCAAGTAGAAACAAAAGTCTGCAGCACTGACAGCAGATGGCCACCAGGTGGCGGACTGATGCACACAGTGAGAGAACACTAAAGGCAGCGCCACTCTTCTCAGCACAGAAGAACATGAGGCGCTTCAGCAGAGAAGAGGCAGCTTTCACTGGATGTTTGTTTAAAAGAGAGGATAAATGCTCACTATTCATTCTTACCATGGCACTGGACACAGTGCTTCTTTACGAGACTACTGTTATGCTTAAGTTGCATAAAAGGAAAATCAGCTGAACACCTAAACGAAGTCTAAAATGGGGAGAATCATAGGACTGGTTTGAGCTGTAAAGGTGTTGGCAAGTTAACTTATAGA